ATAATCTCATCAATTTCTGCTCATTCAAAAGCTAGATTAAAGATTTTGTTTCTACCTAGAATGGTTATCACAAGCCAGCAGAGGGAGCCCACTGCTTTAAAAAGAATTGGACAAAATAATCAGTAATCAATAAGTCCCCTCATTGAAGTGGCCTATTACTATTTAAAAATATTAGCTTGCAATTCTAAGCCACTTTTTCCATACTGTTCTTTTAATCTTTTAAAATAACTTTCCTAATTATGGAAATAAGATTAAAAAAAGAAACTCAGGAGGGAAATGGGAAACATCTGAATTAGTTTTAGGAAAACACTTCTTCTGAAGATTATTTCTTTGCTGCAGTAAGTGCAATGAATTTCATTATGTATGGAGTAATCATGTCTTAATAAAGTTGACTCAAAGACCAAATATCCTCTAGCATACCTAGATCTTTAATGTTTTTTATTGTGAAGTAACAATGAAAGAAGTGGAAAAAGTTTGCACTGTTTGTCTGCGCTTTTATTTAAAAAATTTGTTATTCTGTTTGTTTATAACTTGTTCAACTGAGTTTCCATGGGGAAATGCTACAAATTGGCATGGATTATTTTTTCTCACTGTGACATTTCTGTCGTATGGAGTGATGAATATGTCTTTAACCCTAAGTAGGTTTTGCATTCTTTTGTCCATTAATTTCCTTTATCAGTAAACATTTAGTTGATGTTAACCACGTGTCATCCACTGTACATGAGATGAAAATCCCTTCCCTCAGGAGCTTACACTTCAGTGAGGGAAACATTTAACCCCAGACCTAGGAATTATCCTTGGAATTTACTTCCTTCTCTTGTATTTCCAACATCCATTTTATCACCAATTTCTACCTCTGTGCTTCCAAGATATATATGTCTTGAATTAATTTACTTCCATTTGTTTCTATTTCCACCCCTCTGATTGAAACCAGTCATCTTCTGTACTGGGCTACTTCAGTTGCCTCTTACCTGGCCTCCCAGCATTCATATTTTCTCCTTCCAATACTTTCTTCAGTTGGCTACCAGAGATATTTTATTATTATTATTATTATTATTAAATTTATTGGGGTGACAATGGTTAGTAAAGTTACATAGGTTTCAAGTGTACATTTCTGTAATACATCATCTATATATCACATTGTGTGTTCACCACCCAGAGTCAGTTCTCATCTTTTAAAAATGTAGATTTGACCATATAATTCTTAAAACTTTTTGGAGGTTCTCCATTGCTCTTAGGATAAAGAACAAAATCTTAACAGGGCTTATAATGCCCTTTATGACCTAGCTCCTGCAGATAGCCTGTCTTTCTTATCTCATTTTGAAACACTTTCCTCCTTACGTTCCAGCCACACTAGACTGCTTCAGTTCTTTGAATGCACTATGATCTTTCCTGCTCTGTGCTCTTGCACATGGTCTTCTTTCTGCCCATCTTGCCCCTGGACCTTAGTTTGGTGTAAATATCACCTCCTTAGGGAGACCTTCCCTGGGCCCACACATTGAATTTGAGAATTAGGAGTGTGGGCCTGGGAAGATCTCTCTAAGGAAACGATATTTACATCAAACTCCCTTCTAATTTTCTCAGAGCATCCTATAGCATATAGCTTTCCCTCACAGCACTCATCACAACTTAACACATATATCTGTGGTTATGAACTTGCTGTCTGGCTCCCTCCTAGTTCCAGTGAAGGTAGGGACCATGTCTGTTTTGTATTTCCAGCACCTAGCACCTAGTGCCTCATTCTGAACAGGTACTTAAGAAACATTTGTTGAATGAATTATTTGTGTTTCACAAAATGAAATATTTGGAAGTTATGCTAAAAATTCTAAGCTATACACCATTTTCACTGTTTTGCAAATGCTCAGGAAGTAGTAACACTTTATAATTAAAATTCATTTGACAAATTAGGCATGTTTTCAACATATAAGTTACCAACCTGCAGTGATGGATCAGCACCTTAATTGAAAGAATGGAATTACCTGCTAATTAGTAAATATATTTAAAACTGTTTTCCCTTTTTTCCCCTAGCGTCGAGGTCCTCAGCGATCAGTTGATGTAATAGTTTCCTCTGCTTTCTTGTTGACTATCTCAGTTGTGTTTATCTGTTGTGCCCAGGTGAGTTAAATTATTCTGTATAGAAATTAGATAGTGAGATCTATAAATGTTCAACCTCAGAAGGCTTTCTAATAATAAACAATAAAAGTAATATTAATAATATAAGTAAGCCTAGTTACACAATTTTGAAATTGACTTTTTGCAATGTATTATTTTTTTCAGTAGAGTAAATGAATACACCATATTCATTTCTATGTCACTACAGTGGCTAGCATATTCTCAGATGTCTATTGATTGGACATGTAATAATTAGTTTTTGTCTACAGTTCACCCAGTTATCTTTATTTCCCAAACAAACTTATGAATGA